AGCTGACTAAACCCTCTGTTAGCCCTACGTAGAGTTAGCAGTGACTAAGAAGTCCCTGTCATGTCATTGAATCTTTAGTGGGCATGTCATGTCATTGAATCTTTAGTGGGCAACACGAATTTTAGTTCAGTTATGTTACATTATAATTTGCCTTTCAAAATATGTGTGCTTCCTTTCTTTATAACACATTTTTATATTACTACAGTTTTTGAAGTAGGGGGAAAATAAGTTAAAACAAGAGAATATTTGACGAGAGTGTATAAAAATTTAAACTAGGTCACTAGGGAAAGAAGCTGTCAACACTGACTTGTTTTACATCTAAGTGGAAGACATACTCATATTCTTGGTTTTGATTGACTTCTTTGTCCTTCTCTATAGTCAGAATTCAATATCCCGTGTAAATTATTTGACCCTTGTATTATTGCCTTTCTGCTCAGATGTTCTTTTCTATACATAGGCTGCTTCAAGAAATGCCCTGTTTCCCCGAAAATAAGACCTAACCTGAAAATAAGCCGTAGTATGATTTTTCAGGATGCTCATAATATAAGCCCTACCCCAAAAATAAGCCCCAGTTCAGTGAAACCCCTCCCTACCCCATTGTGCGGCAACTAGAAGGAGATGACATAAATGTATTTGAATAAATGTAGATTGTTGTACATGAAAAAAAAATAAAACACCCCTTGAAAATAAGCCCTAATGCATTTTTGGAGCAGAAATTAATATAAGACCCTGTCTTATTTTCAGAGAAACACGGTATATTAAAATATGGAGAGATTGATAGGGGTAGTTGTTACAACAAAAGTAGCAGTCTTGTGACACCTTGAAGACTGATATGTTTTAATCTTAGAGTTTTTAATTATAAAAGAAGTACTGGATGGCTATTTAATTTGTTTATTGTGATAATATGTAAGAAATCTTTGTTTTTCTTGAGCTGTAAAAAAAAGAGAGAGAGAGAGAATGACTCAGGAATTGAAGTAAAGGGTGGTTGAAACAGTATTATTAAAGACTTCTGATTTGCATTGCTATAGCCCAGTGCCTAATAATTTCATTTTTGCACAAGAAGTGTGAATTTATAGCAGAGATGCAATTCTTTAGATCTTTGAATGAAACAGTCTTTTAAAGACTCAGACTGGCTTTCAGTTTCATGGCTGTGGTTGCCTTGGAAAGACCAGTAGGGAGTACAGTATACAGTATTGAATTAGTTTTGGTCACTCTAGGAAGTGGGATCCAGAAAACAATGCTTGAGGACTGTAAGTTTTTTGTTGACTAGAGAACCTCTTATCTTACGAGATGCTGCAGAATTCTGCCTGGTTCTCGGTGGTGTTTCTAATATCTACATGAAGCCACAAAACAAAGTCATTAAGATATGTGGATTTTAAAGTCATCAATACGCAGATGATAATCCCCCTCCCTCTTTCTCTCTGTCTCACCATTCCTCCCTCTTATTTATATCTGATAAGGGGTGGTACAGGTTGAATCACTGTTTTGTCATCTGCATAGAACAGGTTTCCCTTTGGAAAGTATTCTAACATTTCAAATGTGGGCACAAATTCTGCTTTCAGACTTTTCACGGGGGCTAAGTGGCGAGATCATTTTGTACTTACTGTGTTGAATATGCACTTAACACAAGTTTGTTTCAAGGCTTGATTTGAGGTGCTGGTTTTAACCTTGGAAATTATAATCCATCCTTCCCCAACCTTGAAAAGTTTCAAATGCAAGCCAGTCAAGTGCAGCTAGTCTATCAGGAATCTTAAGAGACTGAAGCATCCAGAGGACCCGTGAAACTAAACTTAACCTTTCTCTTCCACCTTTCCAGTGAAGCTTTATGAACCTCTCCCCCACCAAGGTGGGTTTTAAATTCTTTGTTACTGACATTTTTATGAGATGCTGCAGAGTCTCTCCCCTCCAGTTCTGCTTATGAAAATGGCCAGATCCTCACTGTAATAGATGGTTTGTTGGAGAATTAGGCAGCTATGTACCTGTGCTTGTGAGAGCTGGACTATGTACTCTGGTTCCAAGGAGGTCATTTTTGCAATTTCATACAGTATTTTTTAAAAAAGCAGGCACATATAAAGAGTAAATATGTTGGACTAAAACCAGGGACATCTAAAGTCGACCCTCCACTCAGCCATAGCATTCACATAGTGACCGTAGGCCAGTCACTATCTAACAGTTTAACATACCTCTCAGAGTTAATGCAGCAATAAAATAGACAAGAGAGAGCTACCTGTGAGCTCCTTGGATGAAAGGCAACATATAAATTTAAGGATGAATTAATGATCTGAATTAGGCCTGTATGGGAGTCATTTGAATTTATCAGGTATCCATTTGGCACTTTGGAGCATAACCTGATTCAATCTATTATAATCCATGATTGCTCTGGTCCAATTCAAGGTCTCAGACCAGTATTTGGATTTCTGAACATTTAAACGGCTAAAGGATTTTATACACTGCCTTGAAATAAGGAAAGATGGTACAGTGGTGCCTCGACTTACGAATGCCCCTACCTATGAACATTTTGACTTACGAATAGCTCTGCTCGGAAAATTTTGCTTCAACCTGTGAGCGGAAAAAGGTGGGAAATTCAAACTGTTGGTAGCGAAGAGGCTGCTTCTTTGTAGCTCTTTCGCCCCAACAGTTAAAGCAGGGGGTCAGGGAGCTTTTTTACTCCTGCAGTGCAGGAGGAGGAAGCAGAGGCTCTGGATCGCCGCTGGGCACGAGAAGCCGGTGCACTCCCTGCCCGTCCCTGGCACAGGTCTACTCATGAGTAAGGGCTGCGGGTCTACTCATAAGTAAAGGCCGCCAAAGGCGCTGGGCTGGGGCACGCGGGTCAGAGGGGCTCTGTGGACAGGGCATGTGGTGGTGGTGCAGGAGGAGGAAGGAGGAAGGAGAAGCAGGGTGGCTCCAGTTTACCACTGGGTGTGGGAAGCCAGTGCGCTCCCTGCCCATCCCTCATGCAGATCTACTCATGAGTAAGGCCCACCGAAGGAGTTGTGTTTCTGTTCTGTGGTTTTGTGTGTGTGTGTTTTGGTGGTGGTGTTTTTTTCAGTCCCAGCGCATTCCAATGGGGCTTGCTCGGTTTTTTGTTAATTGTTTTTTCAGCCCCAGTGCATTCCGATGGGGCTTCCTGTGTCTGAGTGCTATTCCATGCAGCAACAATGCTTGGCTACAACTGTCATCACTGACTGGCAGCTGCAATCAAAGGTTTCAGGCAGAGGTTTATCCAGCTCTCCCTAACGATGCCAAGGGTAGAATCAAGAATATTGCACATGCAAAGTACATGCCCAACAACTGAACAACAACTCCGACATCTTATAAATCTGTGTGCATAGGTGTTGTTTCTTGTCTTTTATTTTAACTACAGTGGTGCCCCACTTGATGATGAAATCCCTTTACGATGAGTTTTTTTGCGATCGCTATAGCGATCGTAAAACAATGGTTCCTATGGTGTGTTTTTTTCGCTTTACGTTGATTAGGTGCCTGCTTCACAAACCGTTTGTTCGAAAAGCGATGTTTTTTCCGGCTCTGCAAAATGGCTTCCCTTTGCAAAAAGGCTTCCCTCCCTTCGCAAAATGGCTGTTTTCCGGACAGAAGCTTCGGAAGATAGCGATTTTAAATAGCTGATTGGCGGTTCTCTATGGGCGATCTTCGCTGGACAATGAGGTATTTCCCCATTGGAATGGATTAACCGGGTTTTCAATGCATTCCAATGGGTTTTTTCCCACTTGACAATGATTTTGCTTAACAGCATTTTCCTGGAACGGATTATTGTTGTCAAGCGGGGCACCACTGTATGTGGCCAAAATGCTTCCATTACCGTTTTAACCATAAATACTCAGTCAAAAATAGCCTTTCCTTTGGTTCAGGGTGGCTCCATCTACTTTATTAGTTTATCCCAGTGGCCCCCAACCTTTTTGTCACTGCAGACCGGTTGGGGGAGGATGAGGTGGGGAGACACATGTGGGCACTCATGTGCATGTGCAAAAGGGTGGGGTGCAGGCACATAGGCAAAGGGACGGGGGCTTGCACACATGCGTGAAGGGACTGTGCGGGGGGAGTGCGTGGGGGGGGAGAGCTGTCTCCATGGCCCAGTCCAACCTAGGCCACAGACCGGCACTGGGCCGTGGACTGGGAGTCGGGGACCCCTGGTTTATCCTACATGATGTATTTCATATTTCTTCAGTTCTACATTTGTTTGACAATAAACGTCCTGTTCCAAATTTAATTTATTATAACTTTGCAAAAATATCAGGTTTGCTTACAAAATAATAAATCTTTCTCAGAACAAAAATGACAGTCCTATGAACTTAAATAATAATGGTTTCTATGTGGTTTCATGTGGGCATGTAAACTTGTTCACTGATTCTGATCATCATCATTGCTGTACCAGGATTTATTACTATGATCTAATCAGAGGGCTTATTGATACTTTGATATAACACTTGTGAATTGATTTATTATTGTGAACTCCCCTGCATGTGTGTGCTGTAGTTAACTGCAAAGATTCTATCTATTCCCTCTTCAAAGTAATTTGTAACTGAATAAGCAGAATATGTTTTAGTTCAAGTAAAATAGGATAGCTTAATAAAGTGTTGTATGTTTTTTGATTTTTAAAATCTAAGGTTCCAGTGAATTGCAGAAATATAAACTAATAGCTTGAAAACATCAGTATTCTTACTTACACTAAAGATTGCTTAAGCCACTAAAGCTGTTATAAAGTTACCAAAGAAAGTTAAATAGGGCTGTAAATCATGTTTTTATTTTTGCACCACTGAATTGTATTAGATTCCATGCAGCAAATTGTATTTGTAAAAAGTATCTTCTTTGAATTGTTGGTAACGGAACCCTCAGTGGCTATTGAACATGATAATGTTTAGTTTCCCAAAATGATTCAATTAAAATTATTATTATTACAGATACAATTAATGAAATCAGGATGCATTGATTATATATTGAACTGGATCTCAGTTGATTTGGTTTTCTCCTTTGTATCTCTTTAGTGTTGAGGGTGAAGCTCCTGGAAGTGAAACTGGTACATCATTGGACAGTCCGTCTACCTATCACCAAGGGACAATAACTCACAGTTCAGCTCTAAGTCCAGACCATTACGATCATTCTCCATACGGGCTGTATTCCATCTCTCCTGGGCAGCAAAGACCCCGGAGACCGAAGCTTCAGCACTCAACATCCATACTGAGAAAACAAGCAGAAGAAGAAGCGATAAAAAGATCGAGATCCCTTTCAGAAAGCTATGAACTCTCATCTGACTTGCAAGATAAGCAGGTATTTGAATGATGCATTTATAGGAATCAGGTTAGAGCTCATGTGTTAAACTCAAGGCCCACGGGCCAAATCCAGCCCGCTGGGCCATTTCATGTGGCCCTCACAGTGTTGCCTGCTACTGTGCAGTATACAGTACAATACGCAGGCACTTACTTGGTCACCCATAATGCTCCACAAGGATGCTGAGAATGCGCCCAGTGGGACTTTTAATCCCAGCATTCCAAGCAGCGAAGAGTCAGAAAGTGATAATTGAATGAGGAGGATTATATTTAATATGATAAAGAGTAGATGCATTTATATAGTCTTACAGACACAACCAGCCTTTGTATTTTGTAAATTGAATTTTACACATTTGGGCACATGCATGAAGGGGTGGGGGAACACTCACATGCATGCACAAAGCAGCTGTGGGGAGGATGGTGCATTGGGGGGGCTGAGGCCATTGACTGGCACTGGGTTGCGGACCAGGGGTTGACGACCTCTGCTTTAAAGCATAGTAGAAAATATATGCAACATTTGATAGAAACCATTAAATATAATTATACGTTTAGGATTAAATGACCTTGAATCGTTTTTAAATGCTTGAATTGTTTGAACTTAAAAGTAAGCTTCACAGACATATTTTTGAAGCCAGTAAAAGTTAGCTACTGCATGATGTTCTAAAATGGAATTTGTTGAATGCAAACCTCATTTTTACTTATAATTTTCTTATCTCAATTGTATTACTGTTTTATTTGTATTTAAAAACTGCATTGATGGAAATAATTAGCACTGTATCAGGTAACATAACCAAGAATTTTTATGATTTAAATGTGCACTAAATTCTTGATAGAAAAAATAGAATATTGGCTAGTTTGGGTTGTAATAAATGTTGTTAAATCTCACTGTGAAATAGGAAAGTTCTGTCCCAGGAAAACCTGAGAACCCCCTTCCTCTCGCTCTTCCGTCATCAGGCAACGACCTTCCTTTTCAGTCAGGCTTTTAAGCCACAAGTGTGTCATTAATACATTGTTTATTAACTTTAAATGTTTCTTAACATGTTTTTAAATTATTTCTAATTTTGGTTCTAATCTCGATATACATAGATTTCTTAAAAATATTGTTCTTATATGATGTTTTAAAACTGCTTATTGTTTTACAGTTTTAGTTGTTGGGAGCTGCTTTGGATCTCCTGTGGGGAGAAAGGCGGCATATTAATTCAATCAATCAATCAATCAATCAATCAATCAATCAATCAATCAATCAATCAATCAATCAATCAATCAATCAATAAGTGCAGTTGGATAAGTAATTTCCATTGTAATATGTACCAGAATTCAGTGATGTATTTCCACTGGATTCTACTACTTATCTGTGATCCCCTCCCCCTATGCAGCCTCCAGTGCACCCTAAAAACCTGTTGTGAAGGGCTGAGAAACCCTCTAAAGTAGTTTTTTTGTGTCATAGAGGGCTTTATCAGCATGGAAAGAAAAAGAAAGGCCCAGTTCTGCTGATATTAGATATACTGCTGTATCTTGGCCATGGTCATTATATACTGAATATATTTTCAATGCAGAAATCTTTCTGGATCTTAGATTCCTATATTTTTCTGTGTTAATTTGCAACTCTAATCACAGTATCATACCAAAGTGGCATGTAGTTAAGCCCTAGAGTGTTATAAAGCATGTCTATCTTCTTTCTAGGTTGAAATGCTAGAACGGAAATATGGAGGCCGTCTCATAACTAGACATGCTGCTCGTACCATACAGACTGCCTTCCGCCAGTATCAGATGAACAAGAACTTTGAGCGGCTTAGGAGTTCTATGTCTGAAAATCGTATGTCAAGACGCATTGTGCTGTCCAATATGAGAATGCAGTTTTCGTTTGAAGGACCTGAAAAAGTCCACAGTTCCTACTTTGAAGGAAAACAAGTTTCTGTTACAAATGATGGCTCAAAAATAGGAGCCCTTGTCCAATCTGAATGTAGTGACCTGGGTGAATCGGCTGCTATGAAATCTCCAGCAGCATCCACTGACTTTGCTGATGCCATAACAGAGCTTGAGGATGCTTTCTCAAGACAAGTAAAGTCTCTTGCAGAGTCAATAGATGATGCGTTAAATTGTCGTAGCCTGCATTCTGACGAGGTGCAAATAGCTGATCAAGTCCGAGGTCGTGAATTAGAGAGGGACAGTTGTGGTCAAACTAAACCAACAAGCCATAATGTGGATCACAGGAAGCTGGATGAAATGACTGCCTCGTATAGTGATGTTACCTTATATATTGATGAGGAAGAACTCTCCCCACCACTTCCCCTTTCCCAGTCTGTAGATAGACCATCAAGCACAGAATCTGACCTAAGGCTTCGGTCAGTGAACCCATCTCAAGAATATTGGTCTATGGCACACAAGGATCATAAGATGGATACTGACACCAGTTGCAGGAGTACCCCTTCGTTAGAATCCCAGGAGCAGCGGATGAGGATGGATCATCTGCCTTTGTTAACCATAGAACCACCAAGTGACAGTTCAGTGGATTTAAGTGATCGTTCGGAGAGAGGATCCTTAAAGAGGCAGAATGCGTATGACCGAGGAGTTACTAGTCAACAAGGAAGCCCAAAACACATCTCACATGGCATCCCAACCAAGATAATATCCCGAGAAGACCCGGAGACTAGGCATAGACCAAGGCCCATCGATAGCCACTTAGCCATTAATGGCACAGCAAACAGGCAAAGCAAATCTGAATCCGACTACTCTGATGGTGATAACGACAGCATCAATAGCACTTCCAACTCCAATGACACAATAAACTGCAGCTCAGAATCTTCTTCTCGAGACAGCCTAAGGGAACAAACCTTGAGCAAGCAAACATACCACAAAGAGACTCGCAATAGCTGGGATTCTCCTGCCTTCAGTAATGATGTCATCAGGAAACGTCACTACAGGATTGGACTGAACCTTTTTAATAAGTGAGTGCAGTGCTTTTTCTAACATTCTTTTCTATTTACTGGTACATTCTTGTGGGTTTTTTCCCCTTTACTAAGTAAATTATTCCAAATTGCGGAATGACTAGAATTATTTGCAGCTGTGAGGGTTAGAACGTGTATTGTGTATAGGCACTTGTCTTTTTGCTTATTATTTTTTTCTCTCCCTATCTTTCCTTCCATCCAGCAATGTATGTATTACTTGTTAAATCTCATGGTATGTATCTTTTTGGGAAACAAAGCTTCTTTTTCCTTTAGAGAAAATATAAAAGAGATGAAAAGGAAAATTCTAGAAAACTATGGAAAAAAGCAATAACAAAACTGAAAAATTGAAAAGGACAGGTTACTTTTCCCACTTTTCTCTCACTACCACTACTCATTCCAGCTTTCCCCTATATTACACGAAAAATAATTGTCATCAAAATTGGTGTTTTGAGAATTATCAGCACTTACTCCTTTGCCATGGTGTACAGTTGTAATTGGAATAAGAAAATTTTCGAAACTGGCTTTTATAATAAGTTTTCAGATGTAAGTGACATGGCTTTCTTTTTTTTATTTTTTGGTACCGAAATATCAGAAAACTTACAATCTACATATTAATCATAGTTGTTTTAGGCCACCACTTAAACCTGGAATTTAATTTTTTTTTTAGTAGTATTTGGTCTAAGCTAGCATTTCAGGCAGAGGAGTGGTCCTTTTCAGAATATTTCTTTCACGCCATGCATCCATTTAATACAAAGTATAAGTTGATTGGGTAGCTTGGGGAAATGAAACACCAAGTTGTAGAGCCAGGGGTCTGTGAAACTTGCTGTATGAATTTTATTAGTTTATTCACTTTTCCCAGTTCAGCTTTCTTGTCTGGTTGGTTTCCTCATTCCTTAGAAGCATATTGAATCACCCAAATTCCATGAATGGTATGAACTATAATGATGACATTGTTCAGTTGGTTTGGCGTTCTTTGTTGTGGTGTCTGTCTGTCTGTCTGTCTGCAAAGTACTTTTTAAAAGAGTTCTCAGTATTTTCACAATAACCAGGATTCTATTAAAATGAGCTATCTCTGACCAAGAACACTTTTTTTCTGTTCAATGAATCTACATTAGTGGTTGTTGTGGGTTTTTCGGGCTTCTTGGCCGTGTTCTGAATGTGCAGAACCTTCAGAACACGGCCAAGAAGCCCGAAAAACCCACAACAACCATTAGATCTCGGCCGTGAAAGCCTTCGCGAATACAATGTACACTAGACTCCTGCATCAGAAAAGCATAAGTTCTTGATTCAGCCAAATTTAGCAAGTGTCAGATACAACTGCCTCTAAAAATAAATCTTTACCCTGTTACTATGATCTCCTTCTGATACATGTATATTAAAATTTTGGCTACCTGAGATACTAAGAACTACACTAAGAACAAATGAGCATCTGCAGTTAAGAAATCTCAGAGCAACTTCATTTACAGTTTAGTCGGCATTTAGGGATGAGTAAGGAAAAACAAAGAGTAGCAGTGATGCAAGGAGCAATATTTCTTGGGAAGTAGTAATCATGTCCGTCTCTGCCAAAGCAGAAAGTCCTGTAAGATGTCAGGAAACAAGAAAGGATGTGTGTAGGCGTTTGACCGCTTGCTGCTTATCATGTGAATGATCAGTTTACCTGCTAATTCTGTAATACCTAATACTTTAAGCACTGACAATTTTGTTTTCACAAGGTAATGTTTTACAAATGACAAGGATATAAAATACTGTTTTTTCTCAGTATTTTCCTAGACATAACTTGTTATGTGTATGTGTAAAAGAGTGTAAGAAAGACATAGTGGCCAAAATCCTGTTGCTTAGGATAAGCCAAATTGTAACTTTTGATCCTTCTTCCCTGATAAATTATCCCCACTGTGACTCTCGGGTGCATACATATGCTGGCTCAATGTATATGCACCCCCTCCCCTAGAATATCAGAGAGGACACTTTGTTTGCCAGGAAGGAAGAGACCAACAGTTAAGATTTGGCTTATACTAAGCAACAGGACTTTGGCCAATGATTTGGAGGAGTATGTTTTTCCTTTTGGGGACCCACAAGGGTTCATAATCTCCCCAGTGCTTAAGGTAATCATGAGATTTGGGCTTCATGCCATCAGTATGCAGATGATATGGAGCTATATTTCTCCTTTAATCCATCTGCAGATTATCCTGTCCAGTGGCTAAAGAGCTGCCTTGCCACAATCTGGACTGGACTAGCAAAAATAGGCTGAAGTTGAATCCACACAAGATGGAGATTATGTTATTGGAAGGTCCATCTACCCGTCTGTGGGGTATCTCCTCTTGATGGATTTACCCTTGTGTTTAAGGATCAGATGTACAACCTGGGTGTAATTTTAGACCCAGTGTTAACCATGGAAAAACAGGTCTCCATTGTGGCACATATCACATTTTTCCAATTCTGGTGGATTGCCCAGCTGTGTGCTACCTAGATGTCAGGTCTAACAACATTGGTCCACAATTTTTGGTCGTCTCAGAAATAGACTACTGCAATAAATTCTGTGTAGGGCTTCCCTTGAGGCTGATGTGGAAGCATCAAGAGGTCCAGAATGTGGCAGCCAAACTGATTGTTGGGTGAGGGAATTTGATCATATCACTCCAGCTGTGGTCTGCCTTTACTGGTTACCAGTTCGCTTCCATATCAGGTTCAAGGTCTTGGTTCTAATACATTGAAGCATTAAATGGTTTAGGACCTTGTTACATGTTTTCTGCCTAGTTCAACTGCCAGTCTGACCTCACAGACCTCAAGCCTGCATAGTGTAGACATCTTGAGAGGCCCAGAAAGCATCAATTAGAAGCCAGGCCTGCACAACTGTGGCACCCTCCTTATGGAATGCGCTTCCCTTGGAGTTATGTCAGGCACCCTCCCTTCACTCCTTTTAAAAGGTGCTGAAAACAGAGCTTTTTAAAGGGAAGTTTTTGTGGAGGTCCTTCCCAGTTAATTGGGATAGAGGAGGAAGAAGGGGAATATATACTATACTTAGCCATATTTATTGTGCCACTTGTCTTGTTATCTACAACAAGAGATTCTGTCTTTATAGATAGCTTCTATATAATTTATGTTTATATAATGTATGTTTCTTTATTTCTGTTGTAGACTGCCAGAGCAGTTTGCTAGATGGGCTGTATAACAAACAAATCAGCTCTAAATGGCCATCGGATGGGTCTTGAGTGGCCCTTTTGCTTCTAATTATTTTCAGTATGAGTCCGTTTTGGTCTTCAGTAAATCTATTCAGGGAGGGGCAACCGGAGCGCTGCATTTTAGGGAGTGCAAAAAATTAAACGCCAGGAGCTTTAATTGTCTTGCTGGTGGAGCTAAGGCTTGCTCTGATGGCAGCAGCAGAAGGAAGAGTGTGAATTGCACAGTGTAGGAATGGTTGGCTGGGTTTCCTTGCCTCTGGAAAAGCATGCAAGGAGCAGAAGCAAGATTGAAAAGAGATGGTCTGGTAGATGTGTGGAGGAGAATTCTTCCAGCTTGCCTATGTCACTGGAGGACGTTTATGGGCATGGGTGGGTAGAGACAGTCGTTCTTTTTCCCTTGTGCTGAGCTAGAAGGCAGAGAAGCCCTGGGCAGAAGGGAGAATTGGGGATGCTACAAAGAAGTTACCTTTTGTAAAGTAGAGTGAGATGGTCGGTGTCACTCTTCCCATCAAACTCAGACAAACACATTGTGGTTTTGACCATCTTTAATCTCTCTGGGACTGAAGTGTGGAAATGTCACTTGAGGGGGCCAGGTTTGAACTCCCTGAATTCCCAGGTGGCTGCCTCTTCTCAGAGTTGAAGTCCAGTGAAGTAACTGTGCTGAGTTCCAGCTGAGGATTGCCAAGTTTAATCACCTGAGATTTCTTGCCATTCCTTTCTCATGTTCCTGTTGCCAAAATTGTTAGTTACAGCTCTGGTCTTCAGGAGAATGAGTAGGGTGAACTGAATGGCACCCTTTTGAGAGACAGAGTGTTCTTAGAACATCTGGAGTGCAGATTATGCCATCATAGCAACATTAACTAAAAACATATTTTGTTTTGTTTTTTTTTTCATTTTTAAATAGTTGAGAATTTTTAAACAGGGAGGATAGGTTCATAGTATGAAAGAATTCAAGCAATTGTATAGTGAAATACTGGCTCCATTCAAAAATAGGTGTGGGAATTCCCTTACTCCTCTTTATATAGGGAGTACTGTATAAAAAAACCTTCCCAGATGTTGAACATTTAGTCTTTAAAAAAAGGGGGGGAGCAGAGTCCAGAATTAGCTGCTTGGAAATGTCTCCAGATACTGGAATGGCACCATTACATCACTTTTAGCCAATCAGCTCTGCCACGTTTTAAGCATTCCAAGCACACAGTTTGTTCTAGCAGAGTTCCATGCTTAGATTAAGACAAATTTTTATGTCACAATGGCTGATCAGGATAGAATCTTACTGCAAAAGACTGTTTTTAAAAAAAGAAAGGCATGGTTGGCTATCACAGCCAAGCAGCTGTCTGATTATAATTATGCAGGCCATGATTTGCTAGTTCATGTATTGTTCCTTGGAATTCAGAACTAGATCTAATTGAAAAGCAAAAACAGGTGCCTTTTTCAGCTGTTTGAACAAAGGCATTTTTTCAGTAGTGAGAGCACAACAAAGGGGAATATAAGGTTATGTATATGAATTAAAATACAGGCCAAAGAAGAGACATGTCAGAAATGGAGTGGGTGATTTGGCAATGTATTGGTGAACAAAACAGGAATAGCTACTGTATAATTATAGTGAACAGTTGATACCCATGAAGAATTCATCCAGTGGGTTGTAGTGCATAGAGTGTCAGATGCAGAATAAGAAGCATTAGGTTCAGATCTTGTCTCTGCTCAGCCACTTACACATTATCAAAAAGTAGGATATGCCATACCAAAAAGAAGGACAGTACCTTTCCCTGCAGGTACTGTATGGATCAGTGGACTGAAACTCCCAAATTTCTGCCAGCAGAATTC